CCCCCTTAAGGTCATTAAACCCTCATGATCGCTTCGTTCGTCCCTCCCGCTTGACCTTAACGCTAGTTTGGTCACCATATGAGAACTTGCGACTTTGGTCACCTCCGCAGGGAATCGCCGCCGTGTTATTTAGGTCCAAGCGTTGCCGAATTCACTCTATACTGCCCGGCCGCGTTTAGCGAGACTTCGGCAACGTCGCACAACGGGCAATTTCATTTAACATGGGAAAAAATTGCCCGTCTGTTAGAAATAATTTTTTTTCTCCAGGAATTGTGAATATAAATAATTTTAAAAAATATTATAATTTGCTAGACACTTGAATTGACGCATTCCAATTTTTTAGGATTTTTCCGCTCAGCCAGTCAATGGTAAGAAAAAAAAATCGACCTTCTGCGGCGTTTCCCTCCTATGGTGACCAAACTAGGGTTAAACACCGTCTGATCCTCATAACTACTCTCTTCCCGTTGAAAAATGACCGGGGCCATAGGTACCTTATAATAAGCCCACGGAACATAAACATTCGGGCGACGATGAAAGTGCCGAGAGTGAGGGTAGGCCTCGAGCGCTCGCAGCGCGAGGTATCTTATGCGAAGCCTCTACTGTAATAAATCCCATTGAAAATAGTATAAATCTCGAATTAAACCAAGCTATTAATCCCAAAACCAAGAATGAATCTTTCAGTTCCTTTCAAATTAATAATAAATAAACAATCATCGCATGTTATTCGTAAATTTTCTTGCGTGAGCTTAGTTGTTAGCTCCGGAGTATCGACTGTTCGATACAGCAATATTTGGAGGAATTGAATAGACGAGTGGAATCTCTCTGCACAACTGATCTCGTAATTAATTCCACCGGGATTATTACCCTTTCCGCAGAATGAGTTGTGTAACATTCATGACTCTTTCATCCTGTATTATAACAAACTTACTACGATACAGAACAAAGTGGAGTGATGTACCGCAGGCGTGCAAATTTGAGTTTGTAATTTGTGACAATGTTTAAATTGGCAATGGGAGGAATTATGATAATGGAGTTTAGTTTTATTGGAGTCATTGCTGATGACGCGGTTGGAGGAATTGGATTGGTCTCGTTATAATTCCTGGAAATTGCTATCTTTTTGCTTCCGAATGGAAGTTTTGTAATCGGTCAAATTTAAGTTTTGGATTTTTTGTTGTTATATCGATCCAGTATAATCCAAAATTGTATAGAAGATGATTAGTTATAAATATTAGGATTTTCAAGGATTTAATTACAAAGAGTTACATAGTTCAGTCCTTTCGTGAGTTGGACTCGATACATTTTTACGTGAGGAATATAATAATATACAGAGTTTTTCAATCCTTAGATTAGAAGAATCTAGGAATTCATCTATGATGAGTGTTGCCTCTTTGTCGTGAGTGAATAAAAAAACATTGACATGGTACGGGGGGAAATATAATTGTGTTGATTTTTAGAATAATTCTCAAAAATTTTATATTTTATAAAAACAACAATTCCGAGAATATTTTTGGGTATGATGCTCTAAATTCAGTCAATGCTAGCTGAAAATATTAACTTCAGAGGTATTCTCTCGAAGTTGAAACATCGTTGCGATACCTACATTCGTTGGTGTGATTTTTTCCATGATTTTTGTAAATTTAGAATTTGTCGTAAATTGCTCTGAAAGAAAAATTTCTGATGGTTTCTTCAATTATGATGCTTCAAATTCATTTCATAATATAGATATCAGCACTCTTCCATTCGATTTGTAAAAGAATTTCCGAACTTATTTTTTTTGCATTTAAAAGTTTGTTGATTTTCCACGTTTTGAAAATTTTACTTCCACTGGTTATTTGAATAAAAAAAGATGAGTATTGCCTCTTTGTCGAGAGTGAATAAAAAAACATTGACATGGTACGGGGGAAATATAATTGTTTTTCGTGTCACGGGACCTGGAAAACCCCATTTTCGAAATTGGAAAAATTTCTGATGGCTTCTTCAATTACGATGCCTCAAATTCATTCCATAATATAGATATCAGCACTCTTCCATTCGATTTGTAAAAGCATTTCCTAACTTATTTTTTTTGCATTTAAAAGTTTGTTGATTTTCCACGTTTTGAAAATTTTACTTCCACTGATTATTTAAATAAGAAAAAAGAGTTTAAATTGATTCAATTATCATTAAAACGATCTATTTTAGATTCATTTTTATCGGATAAATGGATGGTGTAGATGTATATTATTTCCTATTTGAAAATTTATCAAATATTAAATTAAATTAAAAATATAACAATAGATAAAAGAAGAAATTTCATTGAATTTAATAAAATTATTTGAAATGATGAATTATATACTATAGGAGCGGATGATGGACAAATAATAGTTATGATAATGAATTTTTCTAGTTGCATTGAAGTAATTTTTAACGTCATATGTGAAGGAATTGAATTGACGAGTAGAATCTCTCTGCACACGTGGTCTCATAATCAATTCCACCGGGATTATTACCCTTCCCACAGTATGAATTGTTCAATATTCATGATGCAACGGGCGCAGGACGTGTGGTATAATACGACGTCAAAGACAGACTTCAATTTCAGGATGCATGATGTATCGAACTCGGACATTGGTGCAACTATCAGCGAAACAAGCTGGTGCATTGCACGTGGATCGGGTGATTTAATTAATTCGGGAGGAAAAATGAGAGAATTGTTCTGAGAATTATTCAATGGTGAATAAACTATTCAGATGTTTCCATGACTCAAACATTGTTATTCTAGCAATTTTTAATCACTTTTTTAGTGAAATGAATGGAGGATTAAGTGAATGATATCTCTAGTTTCAATTAATTTTTCAGTGAATAATCCAATCCGCATTGTTAATTATAAAAACCCACCCGCGGATTATTTTTCATTGTTTTAAATTTTTAGCAATCACACGGCGAGAAAAATTACCAGGAAAAAACGTGAATATTACGTTTCGAAAGGTAATCCGCGAGCGAATTAAAATTCAATAAAAAGTGTGATTCGGAACTGAAATTGTCGTTCCGTAATTTTTCCCAAACGATTGAGAAATTTTATAGAACGGAACGTAGAGATTACTCACCGGCTTCATAAAAATTATTGAACGTTCCAAAAATTTTTATTTTGGAGGCATAATAAGTGGGAAGTTTCTATAAAATTTTACTTCTTCGGGAAAAATTACCTGACAATTTCGTACTTTGTTCGGTGATGAACCTGAAAATTCACTGAATGTTTCAGATTTCTTCTCTTACAATCCTATAAAAATTGCCGGAAAACGATTCCCCATTGCAGATTACGTAAATTGTTCCCTAATTCACCAAATAATTTTCTCCGTGCTCGCTCAACTCTAGTTCTAATCCAACCGAAAACATTCAGACGGCATTGACATCCCCAAAAAAACATTTGACTTTGCCTCGGTCCCTGGAGTAAAGCCCATATTTTTCCATTGACCCGAAGCAGAAACCATCAGCAAGTATTGTGTTCGGACGTAACAGACTCTAGTTCTCAAAGAAATACAAATGTCCTGCAATCAACAAAAATATATTCGCACGTTCATCAAGTCCGAACGATACGCCGACAGCACAAAAAAAGTGTAAATTACAGAGTGAAAACCATCAATTCTATCAAATGCACGGATATTACTCACTTCGATGTTTCAATGACACACATGTACGCAAGTGAAGGAAGGGGAATATCACACACCGGCGATTCCATCACGAGATAATCGAATGGTAGCAGCGATTAGCCGAGCTCAGTGATTAGTCGCGTGTCGCCTGTTCCGGCGTATCAATTTACGGGTATGGCTTCTAATCTGGCGTCAGTCCTCCCTTCATGGCACTCCCGGACGCGATGGAGCTACTCAGGATTTACCAATTCGACCTTCCAGTTCTCGTCTATTCTCGTCTATACTTATTGATAGATAATTTTTGGTCATTGATGTTTTCAGGATGGCGAAAATAGGAAGAGCGAGAAGAAGGAGACACCTGGACCGCCGCTGCAGACAGCCTCGGTTAATGTTCGGGCACTCATTGAGGAGAAGATCATTCAGAAGAGAACGACCGGTGAGGATCTCTCATTATAATCAATTTATGACGTATTTACAGATTTGGAGAAGAGTGATACTGAATTCAAGATTTGACACGGGAAATTTAGGTAATCACATGATGTCCTACTTTTTTCCGATTTAAGAAATGTTTTCTGCACTGTCAAAAATTTGTGGTTGAAATTTGCAATCCATTTTTTAGAATTTTCATCACATTTTAGTTGCACTGAACTTTCGAAGAATTTTGGCATTGAAAATTCAGAATTTCACGGGAAAATCGATGAGAACTGTAAATGTTAGTTTAATTATTCCCGGGTAATTGATAGAAATCAGGAGAATTCTGATAAATATGTTCTTGGATTTCGAATTAATTAGAAAGTCAGTGTAATTTGACATTAAATATTCATTTTTTCACTGATAATTCAAATACATTCAGGAATTCTCGACTTAATGCTGTCCAAAATTTTGGAATTTCATTGAATTTTTGGTGAAATCTACTTTTCTCTCCGTATGAATATTAAAAAATCCATTTTGTTATTCATCTCCATGTTCATAAAATTTTCAGTTGGGATCAAGGGAAAATTTGGAGAAATAATATAACAACGTTCGTTAATTTGTCATAAATGCGACGTTTCGCTGGAAAAAATTGAAAAATCCATTCTCCCCAAAACGTAGAATTTGACGATTTCTATATCACCGAAAGAGCTTATTCATCCCATGGCTGGTCTGTTCATCCGACAGCGGGGAAAAAATGATACACACGCCTTTGCCTGCCAATATATTTCGTGCGAGTGGTCACGGCCCGACGAGCACAACGTCCAACTCTTTTCCAACCCCCCCCCCCCTCTCGCCCCTCTCCCAATCCACCCTTTCTCCATCCCCCGTTGATTTACCGTTCTAACATGCCAGAATATTTCTTGCATTGTCCACGTGGTTGTTATAAATCAAAAAAGGTGCACCCGCTGTGCATTTTCTACAATCGACGCTGCCTAACAGTAGAGATGAAGAAGGAAAAGAATATATGGGGCGGTTAGGGAAAGAGGGGGCGATGAAGGAGGAGAGGCTGAACACGGCAGAGGGCGTACTCTGCGGGTTGCAATTGGTGAGAGTACGTAGCTGTAGTAACAAAGTGGGCGCTTTTAACGATTTATGATTCGATTCGTTTATTCGCGGTGAAATCTGTCAATTCCAAATTCAAGGGAGGAAACGGTGGCTAAATCTTGGAAAATTTAGGGGTTTCGAGGGCAAGTTATTACAGGATCTCATTAATCGTCTCTAGCTTGTGGTGATAATGGTGAGGTTTTGACGTGTGTAGACGTTTCAATCGTATTCCGGAATCCGGGATCGTATATTCTACACTGTTAACAAAATTTGGCTGAATTTTCTGGAAAAAGACCTTGATTTCGATTTGAGGAGAAAAAGCCAATGGAATTTCAAGTTTCTCTGAAAATTCAAGTAAAGTTCCATTTTTTTAGCGGTAGGAAGACAAAAATTTCACAATTTAGATGAATTTTCAAGTGAAAATGAATATTAACTGCCGAATTCCCTAGAATTTTCAGGGAATTCTGTTGAAATTCCTGGAATTACAGAGATTTTTAAGGAATGCCCTGAAAATTCAGAGGAATCTGGAATTTAAGGAGAGATTTCTTTGAATTTTCCTGATTTTTTATTAATTTTCCGGGAATTATTAAACTGAAATTTACAGTGCTCACGGAGTTTTCCATGAAATTCTCTATTTTAAATGACAAAATTCCTTGAAATTCCAGTAGAAATATTACTTCTTAGAAACTTCCAAGACTCTTAACGGAAATTTCAGTAAAAAATTTTTAATAGTGTAGAATCTGGAATAATATACCCGAGTGGGAATTCCACTCAGGCAGCTTGGGTCAAATCAGTTTTAGGTCCAATAGTGGTCAGAATTTCTTGATTAGACTTTCAGATCAGGATCTGATGAGAATTGTGATTCTATTCTGATCAATCAAAACTCGAATAGATCCGTATCGGATCTGGTACTGCGAGGAAGTCACCGGAATATTATTCAGGAATTGAGGATAAAATATTCCGGATTCTGGAATATCATTCTGGATTCCAGAATATTATTCCGAATTTCGGAATGCAGATATTCCTGATTCCGGAATATCATACAGGGTCTCCCAAAATGAAATGTCATCCTCGTGAGGATAGTTCGGGGGGCTCATTTGGAGAAAAAAATTTTAATAACATTTATCTCTCCGACGCTTTATTTAAGAGTGACTATAAAAGAAACGCGCGCTTCGTGCGTGCATCCTTAAGCTAGTGGTTCATTGTATTTTGTATCCTTTCATTTATTTTTGAAAATAATAAGAGTAACACTAAACAATCAAAGGAACATATAATTCAATGTCACGTTTCTACCATGACTTTTTACAGCTAGAATTATATTATTACACACAAGATGATTACTTCATGTCACAAGATAGTTAAATTGTTCCGTAAAGTATCCAAAACAGAATCCACTCATTAGTTAATCTTTGCTGAAGCTCCTGGATTATACAAATCTTTTTTATTTCTTTAAAAGAAGATATTTTGTTTCAATTTTCCATTTTTATCATATATATATATATATATATATATATATATATATATATATATATGTATAAAAAAATATATTCAGAAAATATTTTTTTTAAAAGGAATATGAAACAGATTTGTATAATCTAGGATCTTAAGGAAAGATCATCCTTGTTCTTAGGCTTAAGGATATCCCTCGCGAAATAGGTTGCTGACAAAAAAGATGACACCAATTTTTTTAATTTGAGGAGATTGATCAAAAAAGGGAAGATCAGCCGCAAAACACCTTCCCGGGAAAAATCCATATTCTCTCTGTCACTGGAGATGGAGGAATGCAAAATATGGCAATCGATTGAGCATTCAATGCGCAATAGATCATTATGAATTTTGCTCCTCTATTGCCAAAACGGGGTGAGAAAAACTGCGACAAAATTCACCGGGACGTAAGAGCCATTTGGATCCACGACACGTTTTCATCTCCAAACGAGTCTCCCGACCTACTCCGAGAGAAGAACAAACACGTTCTCAAACAAGTCTTGGTTGGGCCAACAAAATCGCTAGTTGAAAACTGCCAAAAAAGAATTTGTTTGGTTCAAATTTGAATGTCTCAAACATGAGTAATTGTTCTGCTTTTGACAGCAACGAAATAGTTGGCTGAAGAGGCGAATGATTCACACTAGACGGTGACTTCAGGATGAAAATAGCTCATATAGAGGAAAATTTATCAACAAAGATTTTATCCCCAAGTTACAAGATTGCTATCATATAATTATTATTGTTTCATTTAAGGGTTCATTTCTTGTCTGTGATTATTAGACAGCCGAAACGAAAAACTACTATCCCTTGTTTCGCATAAAACAAATATTTTTCGGGAGCAAAATACGTATGGGTGTATTGAATAACGAAGGAGTAGTACGAGAATGACATTTTTGATAATTTTCAAAAAACTATTTTCGTGAGAAGGCCCGGTAAACCGCGTTTACGGGCCTTCTGACGAAAAATTGCATTCATCACACGGTCCAAAAGTATTTTCTGACGAATGTGATTATAGGCCTCGCCTTCGGCTCAGCCTACAAAGCCACATTCGTCAGAAAATACTTTGTGAACCTTGTGATGAAATAGTACTTTACATGCCCGAGTCTTGGAAAACAGATCACCGTCCCCCACGTGCAAGATTGCCTTCCGAGCTGAAGGCGAGGATGGCAAGCACGTGGGGGAGGTGATCTGAAATGGGGTTTTTCAGGTCCTGTGACACGAAAATAACTATTTCTTGGCACAAGTAAGACTTGTTTGAGAACTTTGTCGTTGTTCTCTCAGTGTATCCTCACAAGGATGACATTTCATTTTGGGACACTGCATATCCAAAACTAATGTTTTCTGTCAGTGTACCTTCTAACTCCTTATTTTGTTTCTCATGTCAAATAATTGTGGCGTTAATAATTGTTATTATTCATTCGACTATTTTTCTCCATTAACGCACGTATGAAAAAATGCTATAGATTTTCTATAGGAAATCGTATGGAGAATTCGAACATTTCCTATGGGATTATTCTGGTAGGATTTCCCACAGGATTTCCTATAGGATTTCCTATAGGATTCTCTATAGAATTTCCTATCAGATTTATGACCCTAATCCTGACCCTTGTGACCGATTGGTTTCGAGTCTCAATTTTGTGTGTTACTTTCTATAGAAAACCCTATAGTGAATTCTATAGGAAATCCCACCAGAAAAACATTTCCTTTAGGAAATGTTCGAATTCTCCATAGGATTTGCGTCATCCATGTCACTCTGAAAAAATATCTACTGTTAGATCTTCCATATTTGCCTCCGAAAAAAGAGTCAGCCTCTTGAAGCAATATTGCATTCAACTGACTGAATGTAAATATGAAGTAGCAAAAATACAATTTTCCCGATTCTCATTCATATTAATTCGTATTATCTCTAGTAAATTGCTCATGAAATATGTTCCGAAACAAAACATGTTATGTAACGGTAGGAAAACATCGTATTCCGAGTTTTCCTGGAAAAATGCTGGGTACTTCACGTATCTCCAGCGAATAACGAAGTATAAACGCAAACTTTTTTTCAAATGCCCTCTGGCAGTCGAGTGGGTAACTCGCTACTCTGTTTACCCACTTGACTGCATATTTTCATGCGTGTATGATGCTGGAAGAAGTGCCTCCGCGTAATTATTGATGAAAATAATTTTGTTTTTCATTCGGATTCTTTACTTTGTCTGTTTACATCTAGACATTCAATTGATTGATGGCTTCCGTGTAGTTATTGATAAAACCTGTTTATATAGAAATTCATTTTCCTGATGAGAGATTTCCCTTGTCACATTTTAATAACATTCAATTCTTCTATGGATATTTGCTCCATCATCATTTATCAATAAATTGAAGAAAATTAAATTAATTCACTAATCAATTGAATCAATTGAAGAAAGTATTTATCCAAATTTTTCTATTTTTTACTCGCTTTATCTAAATAATTCAATTGAAATTCGCATTTTCCCCTCAGAGAAAGAAAGTTTCCAATTACCAGAATCTATTTACTAATTTTATGAAACTCATGGTTCTATAGAAGGCATTGTACTGAGAATAAGAAACTGATTATTTAATTGCAGAACAAAAATCCTTAAAATTTAGTAACGAAAACCTACTTATTTTAACCGAAGAAGAATTACTGATTGAACTTTTTGGATATAAATTTATTTTTCTCAATAAGGCTTTTGCTTGTTACATTTTCACATCATTATTAAATCTGATTCTTCATCAAATGTATCCAGACGATTAATATTCATGTTAAAAAAATCCAGTGAATTTTTTAAAGTGTTTTGTCTTTCTGAATTTTTTTTTTATTCTAATAGCTACAACTAGAAATAACACGAAAATTTCACAATTCCTTCATCGTCAAGCAATTGAAAATTGAAAGACATTTACTATCGAAATTTTCCTCCTTTCTATTCGTTTTCACCAAATAATTTTGATGAAAATCGCAGTTTCCACTCAGAGAAAGAAAGTTTCTAATTTCCAGAACCGATCTACTGATTTTAAGAAACTCATAGTTCTACAGAAGGCATTGTACTGAGAATAAGAAACTGATTATTTAATTGCAGAATGAAAATCCTTAAAATTAAGAACCATTGATTTTCTGAAAGCTCGAATTCCCTTCTTCGTCATTTGACATCCAGGATATTCAGGTGACGAGTTCGGTACAATTATTAATAAAACCTATTTCTTTTCTATTGAGACATCTCCATTTCCCGAGCCAGAACTGTAAAATAATTCTCCTCTGTTTTCATCTCCAGAGTATCAGTAATATACAAACATTTGTATTCATCTTTTCTTGCATTATCAATCGGCTCCCAGATAATGGGTATCAGTTCCGATGTTTTCGGAGTTGGATTCCTTAAAAATGAAATATTCGATATTTACCAGAATTATTCTGTATCTTGTACCACTATCACAATGAAATTACTCTGTAAGTTACCCTGTTTTAGCGAAGTTTGTCCACATCTCGACGATTCTTTGGACAATGCGATTATGAGTATCGTTGGAACACAAAGGTTTTTTTCCGAATTCATCCATCAATTTATGATGGAATAGGAAGCTTAAATCATCAGCATGGGAGGTACCTGAAGAAAATAGGATCATTCATCTGTCGTTCGAATAGTATTGTAATGGCATAATTTTGATACACTAGGAGAAAAAATCCAACAGAATGAGTCACATAGAAAAATCAACCTCTATAGACTTTTTCCTATAAAAAAAATATCTATTAAAAAAGAGACGGCAGACTTGCATTAATTTTTAATACGCAAAAAACAAATAGAATTTTTTCACCGAATTATTTCAACAGAATTCTACGCTGAGAGAAAAACGAACAAGTGCTCAAATAAGTCCTGTTTGGGCCAACAAAATCGTTAGTTGAAAATCACAAAAAAATTGTTAACATGAATAATTGCTCTGCTTTTCACAATAACTAGACTAAATTTATTTTTGCAATACAAATTTTTAATCTTGGCGCACGCTTCGCATGTTCAGCACAAAAAAAAATTGTTTTGATAATTTTTAACAAACTATTTTTGGCCCAAGTAAAACTTTTTTGAGAACTCTGCTGTTTTTCTCTCAATGTAGGAAAACTTTAACAGAGATCTTATAGACTTCCAGTAAAAATTTCTTGCAAAAAGTGAGAGGTTTTTGTCAACAATATGATTCTCGGTGTACACGGAGAGAAAAATAGACCATAATCCCGTGCGAGTCCCTTAAAACATTAGTGAGCTACCCACTAGCCATGTGACCAAACAGGAGTTACCAAAAAAATCGGACGGTTCGTCTAAAAATTCGAATGTGGCACTCTAATTTTTAAAGATCTTACGCTACTTTTCCCTGGGATTTCCTTAAAAATTCGGGTGCCACACTGCCACATCCAAATTTTTGGGTAACCATGGTTTGGTCCCATGGGTTGGTGAATAGCACACTAATTTTTGGTAGAATTTCCTCTCCGTGTGTGGCTCTCTAGGTAGGGTTGGTGGCAATGCCGCCAGTGGCGCTACATGCCCATGAAGAATTCTTCATGTGTATGCTTCACTTGATTGCGGACTTCTAGGTTGGCGTGAGCGCTCTTGGAGCGTAATAATGGCTATTACAGCGCCACACGAACTTAACTGTTTCTCTTTATCAAGACCAGGGCTGTGGCAAACGCCGTTTACGAACATTATCAAGAAAAATTATGTTCGGGACTCGGTCGAAAACAACTCCTCTGACTCGTGTGATTGCATTCCTCGGCCTGCAATCTTCACATTCGCCAGATAAGTTTTTTTCGGCCTTGTGACGAGAACAGCCATCTCTGTACCTGGTAAAGTAACCTTGGGGTTCAATTTGGCCAATGTCTGTTTGATTTCATATGACAAATTGTAGAAGTAAGTCGGAGCGTTGGAGGCTTTCTGGTATTCAAGCACCCAGTGTGCCATAGCAGTGAAGCAAGCATCAGTAGTGAGTTTCACCAGCAAGGGAATAAGCTTTTCCTCATTTCCACAGTCACGTATATAGTGCTCTATAATTTTAGGAAATGAAAAATTCTTATCCTCGTAATTTTTCGAAGGTATGGTTGGAATTATTCTCCCTATCTTCCTGCCGAGAGCTTCGATTTCCTCTTAAAACATGAAAATCATTAGTGGATCATACAAGAAATAAAAGAGATGCTGTATACCTTGTAGCATTAACGTTTCCTCACTGACAAGGCCAATGATACAAGGAACAAGGATTCCCGACTTTACAGCTTCTTGATGATTTTTCGGACATATTGGATCATCGGAAGGTGCATCGCATGCCGGAGAAAAAGTCGTCTCACATCTTGTGAATTCCTGAAACATCAAATGTTAATCTGATATCTCTCTCACCATCGTTAATCATCAAATCACTTACATCTGGAGTACGAAGTCGCTCTTGAGCTTCGAGCAGTGTCTCCACTTCGACAGTTCGTAAATACTCTACGATATCCGTTGGATCAGATAGTCCTATTGCTAACATATTTGCAAATCTTTTACCCAATCCCACAGCATCTTTTGGAGTAACTATAGATGGTGCCACTCCACTCTGAAGAATAACTCTTTGAAACAGCCCTGTACATGAATTAAACAATGACTTGGATGAAATTTACGATAGTCGAGTGGAAACTCAAATCAGACTAGAGTAGAGACTGATCAGTAAAGACTTACTTTGATCAGTTTTGCATCAGAAATATGACGCTTGTTTGAATCTATGCCTGATCAAAGTTCTAGGATCCGATACAGATCTAGTCGAGATTTGATTGATCAGAATACGATCGCAATTCACTCTGCTACATTCAATCCAGATACTCTGTTCAGACTCTTATCAGATCCTAATCCGCAAAGTCTAATCAAGAAATTCTGACCAGTATTGAATCTAAAACTGTCTTAGACAACGAAATTTCTACCCAAAAAACGCAAGCTTTATTTGAGACTTATGATCTCAAATTGGGACTTTCAACAGTCTCAAGTGGAGGCTTTCCGAGTTCTCAAATTGAAATTTTTGTAAGTCTATAATTGAGACTTTCAGGACTCTTCTTTTAAAAAAATTTCAAATTGAGTTCCGAAAGTCATAACATGAGACATTCAAAAGTGTCAACTTGAGTCTATGAAAGTCAAGTCTCAATGTGAGAATTTGAAAGTCTCCAATTGAAACCTTCAAAAGTCTCAACTTTAGACTTTCAAAAGGGTTTAATTGAGATCTCAACGTCTCAAATTGAGACTTTCAAAACTCTCGACTTAAGAATTTCAGGCTTCAAATTAAGACTTGAAAATATCATTTCAACACCTTTGAAATCTTAAAATAAGTTATTATTTTTTTGTGTGTATTCCTGCAAATTTCGGTTGTAATTAATGAATATTACCTCGCGTCTTCGGAGATAATGTCAAATGATGGATGCAACTAGCCCCTGCACTGTGACCGAAAGCTGTTATATTGTTCGGATCACCACCGAATTTTGAAATATTTTGCTTAACCCACTCCAGAGCAAGAATTTGATCCTTTAAGCCGTGATTGCCGGGTGCAGCTCTATCTCCCAAAGTGAAAAAACCTTAAATGAATTCGGTTGTCGATAAAGTACCGAATTGTAATATCATAATACTTAACGAAGTGAGACGATATAATTATTCTAAATACCTAAAAAACCTAAACGATAGTTAAGAGTGACTACAATAACATCCTTCTTCATGAAATAATCAGGTCCGTGAACATCATCGTTTCCAGATCCAAACTCGAATCTTCCTCCATGTATCCAGACCATCACGGCTCTCGACTTAGATGGCTCCAACGATGGTGCATACACATTGAGATAGAGGCAATCTTCGCTACCGATGAACCTCTGTTGCTCGCGATTATATTGACAACATATTTCACCAAATTTCGTAGCATCTCTGATTCCCGTCCATCCGCCAATCGGTACTGGATCCTATGAAGAAAGTTGTACAGTAGGAGTCCTATAATTTCGATCCGACGGGGGAAGAAATTCCGAGAAGTCGAAAATAGTCGGCCGAGCTCTTATTGGCCAAGCGCGCGTAGTGGGGAGGTCAGAGAGAGAACGCATTATGTTGCTCTCTGTCTTCGGCCGTCGGGCAACAGTGAGTACATAACCCCAAAGTAAATTTTTCCCAATGATTGAGGTTAGGGAAACACTCGGGAGCATAGGGCTATGCACCCGGAAGATGATGGGCCCATTCCGTAAACGGAAGGGGTGGGGACTGAAAGCGCGAGAGTGGGGACGCAGTGACTCCGCCCGTCGAAAATCGCCGGCTCGAAATTACAGGAATCCTACTGTAGAAGTAAAGGATCTTTGAATGATTAATAGTGATGGCGCAAGACACTTTACGAGATAAAACTTTGGAGAGCTGATCTCGGTCTCAATGAACATGGAAATCTTTGTTCTCGTCTCAGTCTCGAAATGCGCAGTATCGACTCCTCTCGTAATGAATCCGACTCAATTTATCTCATCTCGGTCTCAAGTTTTTCGTGCTTTTTAATGTAAAATCTCGGTTTGTCTCGTCTCGGTTTTCTACATATAAAGAACGCAAAAAATTGGAAACCGAGATGAGATAAATTGACCCGGAGTCATCACGAAAGGAGGCGATACTACGTATTTCGAGACCGAGACGAGACCAAAGATTTCCATGTTCATTGAGACCGAGATCATCTCTCCAAAGTTTTGTCTCGTGATGACTCGTGAAATGTCTCGCGGCATCATTAATTATTAATCGACCCCCACAAGAGATGACCAATGACTTTAAACATTACTTCAGAATAATTGTAGACGCGAAAATGAATTCGGGGAGATTCATTCAAAAGTTATGACGTTAGTCATAACCCGCGAGAACCATGTTTTCCCACCAACTTTCAATGTCGCAGATTCAGGCAGAATTTCTACTACTAACCTCAGCGGTTTCACCATTCGTTTCCCACATTCATTGAGTTACACTTGGATATGGAACAATATGGCATGACACCCTCGTCCACAAGTGGAAATTCGTCATTTTGAAAATAGAGTTGAACATTTCGAAATGATAATGAATTCATGTGGTGTACTGATTTGCCCAATATCCGACGATTTTTATATACAGATGATTAACTATTTTACTCACACGAAATCGTAAATCACCGATTGGGGGCATTGCATAAGGAATACCTCTGAATGCCACATAAGTTCCTCCAGCTATGTTTTTATCAATAGTTCCCCGCAATGCACCCGAGTTTGTAATAATTAAAGGAGCCATCACGTTAGGAGGAGATACTGTAACCGCTGTCCTCGTCTTTGAAGAATCGCACGCTACGAACTAACGAATATTGATGAGTGGTGGGTGATAATACTCGAGACAAAATGAGACAAATGATTGCCTCCTCTACTTCATATGACCTCCAGTATTCTTATCAGCGCAATTCGTTTAGGCACTAATCGATGGAAATTATATGATTACGGTTCTATAACGATCTGCCATGTGCATATATTCGTGTGTAAGTGAGTGACTGTCAATGATCAATTAACGACAATTTTTAGTACTGATTGTGGGTTCAAAATCACGTATCTGATTCGAGTTCTCATAAAGAAACCCGAGTAAAAATTTCGTCGGTTTATCATCGGTTGCCGATCAGGTGCAACCGAGATGGTTATCGCTTTCACAAAGGTTTCGATGTACAAGGAACTTATGAAAACGTCGCGCAGTTACCTCACAGGCTACAAGTAGGTTGTAACCCTTCAAAAACTCACGTGATTATTTATTCACCTAATTATTATTAACAATTGGCCCCTAATAAATAACGCATTAAATAATGAGAAACGATTTATACACGCAGACAAGAAAAAAACACATTTCTGGGGAGTCGTCACCCATTCAATTCCGAACCCTACTCGATGTTACTTAACTTTGGTGATCGTCTGTTGTGAAGTTCAAGTCCACTATCCTGTAATTCTTGAGAATATATGCATTTAGATATCTTCGTCTAGAACCTTCGTTAGAATCTTCCTCTAGATAAGATGAAGATTCGTATTCTCTGACGATTGATTCATGATTTTTATGCCTAATCCTTCATTCTGAAGCGTATTTCCGACCATTATTGCTAGCCCTTCTGACCCTCGCAGCCCTCAGTTTTGACCCTTGATGAAAAAAAAAACAAAAAAAAAACACGCCGGGCACTCTCCCAACTATAAGCTACCGGAACTACGGAAATTCTCCCTCAAAATTCACTACACAACACCGCCTAACCACCTTTAGGCTTTAAATAAACTCAAAGAGAATTAGAATTTAGAGAGAAAAATCCCGCACCGCCCAGCCGGGATTCGGACCCGGGTCTCCCAGTTAGGGGTTGGGCACTCTAGCGCCCAATTAAGGCGACTCTTGACCCTTATTTAATTTACTTATGGGTTCTCGATCACTTATCCCTGGCCGGACTTGGACAATGGAATGTTGCTGACACCTTACAAGGAACAAATCCTATTTACTAAAGATGAACGAAACGTGAAGTTGTTTTATATCGAAATATCTCGAAACTGCCTGACCGCTAATCCTTAATTCTGATTGGTCAATATGTGACACGAAGTTATTCACAAAAAAACACGTGGCATTTTCAAATTCTTCAGTGACATGATTTCAAATTCTTCAGAGGTAAATTTTTTTTTTCACGTCATATATGTATATAATATATATATTTCACATGTATATATATTTTCGGTGAAATTAATAAATTCTGTCCTTTTATGGAGACCGATTATTTAAAAAAATTGAAGATAATTAATTGAAAATGAAAAATTCTTTATAGATTCTTTTACTCTACTTCGCTATTCACTTCAATCATTAGTCGAATTCTCTTTGATTCATTATCAATATTTATAAGGTATTCATGAGAAAATGAAATTCAATGAATTCCATTTCTTTATTTCAACAAATGAATAGATCAGCGCGCGCGAGAGCGCGCGCATAGATCTTGTAAGTTATAAACAGCTTAAGCCACATAAGCTAGTGATCGGTGTTAAACTCATCTGTAACCCACAATGATCGTCCCTACTAGTATTGTTGTGCTTGGAATCTATAAAATGAACACTTCTGACATTTTGTAGAAACGAGAACGAATTTGGGAAGATTCATTTAGAAGTTGTGACATTAGTCATGCGCGAAGGCGTTGAAATCTCGACTACGCGGTATGACTACAACTCCATTTTGAAGCATAGAAATTTATATTCATTTAAAATATGCGAAAAAATTTGCTTCAGTGTTTTTGCGGTTTTTAGATGAAAAATTTGAAGTTCAGCATCCTAATTTTCAACAGAATTTAATCAAATCAGTCCCAGTAATTTTTCATATGTATACCTAATTTCCTGGGTAATTTGTCCTTCATATAGAAGTTAATATCAAGGCGAAGACATTCTAGTGTGATTTTCATTTACTTGACTGGTAACTATCGTTATCTGCTAGTATTACAAATTGCAAAATAGCAGATAACGGACAACTTTATGGGCCAACCAAAGTTTACGGTAGCGATTAAGAACGATCAAGATCCAGAGAAATGTCCAATGTAAGAAATATCGACTGTGTGATGCTTTGATAATTATCAGATTCCAATAGAACGTGATAGGAATAAGCATAAACTAGAAGATGCAATTGATTATCTCAATTAAAGTATGAAATTCTACAATCGTATAATTCTGATTCTAATTTATATACATTATAAACATTTGTTCGTCTATAATTGCAGCTTTATGAAATCTATAAGAAATACTGAAGCAACTGTATGCACTGCAAAAACTAATGTTTAGGTTTCAAATGTTTCGGTTGACATTTTTCAGACTTCAAAAAGTGCCCGAATCGATCAAAGATGTCTTATTTTGAGACACCTCCGTTTGAAAATAATTTTCATCGGATCAATTTGAAAAAATAGAGGAGTTTCGAAAATTGCCATTCAATTTTAGGAAAAATTTTGAGAAAAAAGGCACGAGCAGGTGTTTGACATTTTTCTGTTTGACGCAGATGATACACCTTAACAATCAAAGGTCTGAATGACTTATAAATGACAGAATGTCAGACATGAAAAATGGCAAAAAATTAACGTCTGAAATTTTTCAGATGAAAAAAATTGAAGAAATTGTTAAACAATCCTCCGTTTTTCTAATTTCTGAGAAAATTCTTGAAATTAAATCACAGAAAATCACCAAAAATGACTGTCAGTATTCAACTAGATACACGGTTTTGTACCACAAATAATGAGATGATTAGTGATCACTCGCAGAATTGACGGTAATTTTGCATTTCTGGTAATATTTGAATACTTGAATGGAAATCGATGAGATCAAAAAATTGTAGCTGTGAGAGTCTCTATTCCTCATATCACGACATCATTTGACATTCCGCTTAAGTGGCAATTTGTAAAAATCCCATTTCAAAGCTTAACTCTTAATTCACCCCAAAGGCCAATCGCCCAGCTACCAATTCACGCGATAAAGCTCAGGGATATAATCGGCTTGCAGTTACAATTTGTGGGTAATCCACGAATCCGCCGAACAAAAAAACAACATCAACGGCTATAAAATTCCGCAAAAATCCACATTTTCCTTGTATATCCCATCGGGAAAAAATAAAGCTTCCATTATTCCTCAACTCTATTTTTTAAAAGAACAAACAAAAATGATTCCTAAAATAAATAGCGTAGTACTCCGGTATTAACTCCGTCTGAATTAATGATGCAGACCGGGGGGAAAAAAAGAAATCATTAATTCTCTCGTCCTTCAAGACAGTTTTCATGCATCATTAACGGTGGAAACACAAAAGAAAGTCATAATAAGAAATCAGCCTGCGACGAGACAGGGAAATCGTTTGGAAGACAATTTCACCGGGGGAAGAAGAGAGATGGAGCAATCAAAGGGAATTTTCTTTTGTACCCAATCAACCCTTCGTTCAGTTCATTTCGCTCGAGTTTTTGCGTCATTGTTAAACATTATTATTCCAATTTTTTTCAGGAATAAAAAACAAAGAAGAGGTACAATTCTAATGAGACGAATTTTCCTTTCCAATTTGATTTTTCCATAGCAACAGAGGCGAATGCAGCGAATCAGTCCAGAGCGAATCCATCGGTGTTTACAGGACAGGCGGACAGTGCAACTCATGTAATTGGAAAAACGAGTTTTGCTGTGCCAGCACCACCGCCGCTCGCCGCTAGTGAAAAAATCAGAAGGTTATCAGACACTGAACATTTTCGCCAGCCAAATGTCACAGTTGCACATACGACTGTTCAAAAACAACTGCAGGAGGCGCAGACCCAAGCGCAGGCACAAGCCCTCGCCGATATGATACTAAAGGTAATTACATAAAATAATTACATCCATTTTATTTCTCGTCTGACAAAAGGCAAACGTAAAGAATGAAAGAGAGGGGAAAATAAACGTCTAATGCTTAAAGGGTACCTCCAAAATGGCAGTGAAACGTACAACTTCTGATCCTGGCCAACGAGTTCAACTGGCTTATTCGTCGGCCCTTCAAACAACTGCCAATCAATCCCAACAATCCAATCAGCCTCAGCAGCAACAGCCTAATCCCCCTCAACCTCAATCCCAAACTGCTGTTACCGAGAGCTTTACTATGACTGGATATTCCGAAGACGGTGGCTATTTCAGTCCCAGTTTGCAGGATGAAGTTTTTCAACAAGTCACTGCTGTTCCTGATTCAGTACTACTGCAAGCTAGTCAGCTTGATTCTATTCAGGTAATTAAAAAAAATATCTTCAATTTAATTATATCATTCAGTAACATAAAAAATAATGTCGTCGATAAATCATCTTAACATCTTGAACTTCTCATCAAATGTTTGCAATTGTGGATTCCGTTCTCACGTCAAAAACAGTTCCATAATTTTGGGATAAAATGTCCATGAATCGAACAAATTAATTTAAATAAACATCAGCTTGATTCTATTAAAGTGAATAAAAAAATTATACTACTCTTTTTAATTCAATTTAATTTATTCATTAATTTAAAAAACAATGTCTTCAATAAATCCCCTTAGCATCTTGAACTTATCATCAGAAGTTTGGAATTTTGGTTTCAAAGAATTCCGTTCTTACGTCCAAAATCAGTTTCATAATTTAAGGATTCAATTTTCATGAATTGAACAAATTAATTCAAATAAATATCTTGGATCCTTCAATGATTATTTATGTAGGATCATTGTCAAGAGTCAGGATTGATAACAAATATATTAAACTTATCAATATAACTGGATGAAATATAAAATCATATGGATCAATGTCACATAGACTTGTCGTGTCAATAAGGCCCACAAACGCTCTCGACCTTTTCTCTAGCTCTTCTCACCGACCACTGACTCATTCCCAAATATTTTCATCTCAGCATAATTTAGTTTCTTCCTTCGTTACCTCCCACTCTCCCACCTACACTCTTTCTGCGCATTCTTTGTCAAATATAATACTCTCTTTCAATCCGCCACTCAAACCACACGCAATACCCTAACTCCGTCTAGCATAAACACTCTTATTTTCCGATACTGTCACTCCACCAAAATACTTCTCGTTTCACACGTCAATCTGATAAACTCCACCTCATACTTATCGTCTCTATTTGGCCTTTCTGATATTTTTTGAATTTTCTTTTGGCGTCACACAGCCATCTACTCTCGTCTCACAATATTTTTATTTCTTATTTCACTTATTCACTTTCGAAAAATCCAATATACACAATACACTAATCCCATATTTAGGTAGTGAATTGCATATCCTGTGCGGAGACTATAACTTTAAATCACTTCATCAAAAACCCTTTCACCACTTAGAATATTCTCATAATTCACTAAGCAAACCACCTATATCGCACGGACGATACTCCCGAACCAACAATTAACTCAGTCAGGAAAATTTATGTCTAACATGAGCTGATTGTTTATTTATTATTAATTTGGAACGAATTGAAAGATTCTCTTGGTTTTATGATTAATAGCTTGGTTTCATTCAAGATTCATACAATTTTCAATGGGATTTATCATTTGAATTTAGTTTGATTTTGTTATTATTCTTTAGTTGTTTTAAATATAATTTGAGGCATTATTTGATGAAAAGAACGAGCATATTTATCATTTTAAGTTCGGATTTCCAGTGAAAACTAGTGCGATAAATTCATTTAGTAACAATAATACTTTGGATTACAATGACGCGGCATAAATGTTTGATATAAATCTCAGTTGAATTGAAGTTGATTCACTTGAGTATTTGCCGAGTACCGAGTAATGAATTCAAATTTTGGATAGATTGAATGTTTTGATGCGTCTACACTGACGGCTCAGCGCACTGAGCGAAAAAATTGGCTCTGCCGAAAAGATAAATGTTCACCTGTACAAAATTTTCTTGTCTTCAGATTATTATTCCTCACGAGACAATATTCTGCAACGAAAAATTGATTCTTTCCACTGGAAAATCTGGCAATTGCATATGAATACATATTCTTTCAAGTAGAATGCCAGAATTCAAATATGATGAGAAATATTAATAATCTTGATATTTTTGAGCGGAACAAATATATTTTCGGCACAGCAAATTTTTTCTCTCAGTGCGTGAAGTGTGCTTTTCCCTTTGCGTATTGCTAAGACAGCCATCAGGACTCGGGTATAAGGGTCTCATTGCAGGAGCTTTTCCAAGTTTTTTCTTCTTTTTTTACCGACGTCGGTGGCCGAGTGGGCTAGACGCAAGTCTAGTCTGCGAAAAGTTGTGAGATCGATTCCCGCTGGAATCGAATTTTTCAACGGAAGGCTCCGGCGAGCGGGAGGTTGCTAATAGAGTGACCGCCTGTACCGGCATGGGTTTCCTGTGGTTTCCCATGCTACTCCTACGTTCTATAGGAGTGCGAATACGGCACCGTATAGAATCTACAGCCGCATCCATAGGGTTGGATAGACTGCCGACATGAGACCCGAAAAGAGGACTCGAAAGGCCTTTAAAAAAAAGTTTTGTTTTTCGATGTCGTTTCCATGAACAGAAGGATAGGCTATAGTTTTTCTTTTGAGTTGGAGGCGGTAAATACTCAAATATAACATTTTCTGTCGATATTTCATGGCTTTAGAACGACAGATCCCTGATATTGGTCGGAAATGAACAATTTGAGAAATTTCGCGAATACTTCTACGATAATTAATTGAATATTCTGTTCTACGCCATAACACCACCTAAAACCTTAAAAATTTTAAGTTTCAGGCATCAAGCCTCCTGCAAGACCAGTCCCCTGACCAGTTGCAAGACATAACCCTCGAGGATCGTTTCACCTCTCAACACACAGTCAACCCAGACCTCCAAGCGCTGGTCAATTCTCCGCTCCCGGACTCCCTCGCAGAGTTCAGTACCTACGGAACTCAGTACAGCGAGAGTCCGCACACCCTCTCCACCCAATCCCCGCTCCCATCCCCCCTAACTCGACACGACAGTCCGAGTTTCACATACCCAACACCTCCAGCGAGTCAAGAAGGCCTGTTAACCGGGACCCTGCCCCTGCTGAGTCCCCAGGACGATCCCGAAGCAGTTCGCCCCGTGTCATCCCCGCTGAGTGCTGCATTCTACACAACAACATTGTCCTCAGCAGCCGCAGTCGAGGAAGCTTTGAACGCTGTCCTCCCGGAAGAGACCGAAGGCGATACGGACTTGTACGGCTCTGGATCCCCAAATGCAAATTCGCCACTACCAAGTCCTCTTTCGGCAACACCAGCGCCCTCACCACTGTCTTCCCTACCCCCTTCATCAGTCTCATCTCCAGGCCCTGCTGCATTCTCCTCCTCAGGCTTCCCCGTCTCCCCGCACCACGCCCTTCAAAACCAAATGATGCCAAACTCCGAAGATCCCCTCTTATCCTCAACCCCAAAAGACTTCGCAGCAAATCGACGTAAATTTGAATTTCAATCCTACAAATTGATAACAAGCCAGAATTTCATTGACTTCGGCTTGGGGAATGGCAGCCTTGCCGGCATTGTAGTCGATAATAACGGCGAGTACAAGCTAATACAAACAACCGGTCTACAGAAGACAAACGTCCTTGTTCAGAGTAGTGCCCTGAATCCAGGATTAACATTTAGAAAGGAGATACACCTAGCCTCACCACAGATAAAGCCCAATATCGTCAATATATCGACACAGGGCATCAGTCTACAGGGACAGCAGTATCACAATCAGATACACCAACAGGCAATTAATCCAGCTAAATTCTTGATACAGACGACAAATACGCTGAAGGCACCATTCAAGCACAAGATCAATTTACCGATTCCAGTTGAGCAGATTAAAGACGAACTGTTGGATGACGATATTTTCCTGAGTCCCAGCAATGTTTCGAGTCCACTGAGACAGAGCAGAAAGAGACCGAGGATTGAGGGTACATTGACGTCACATCCGTCGAGATTGAGACGAGCTTGTGATCGTCATTGGGACAGCAGTTATACTCCACCACCTATATTGGATCCATCAAGATTAGGCCCTGGGCTTTATGCGAGATTGCATCATAATGAGAGAGAATCGGAGTTCAGTTCTGATGATTCACAGGGAAATGATGGACCACCACCGAGGATAAATATTGGAACGAGGTATCAGGCGTCTATTCCACCGATGGGATGCTGCGAGACTGAGAGAGGACGCGGTGGGAAAGAGACGGATCATTTGCTGTGGGATCCTGGTATTGTTGATGGACTCAGTAGTAATGAAGTTGACATGTATCTCCAATTTGCCTGTTGTGCGAGTGTACCTGGCGGGGGAAGAAATAAAGAGTATGCACTGCATCTTCTGCATATGTGCAAAGGCAATATCAGGGAGGCTATGTTGAAGCTCATGAGGCCTACTCCGATACTGCCGTCGCAGCATCCACTTTTGAGTTATGAGTGCAGGGATTCGGATCGCTGGACATCACAGGAAATGGTGGCTTTCTATCAGGGGTTGATGGAGTACAACAAGGATTTCAATAGTATAGCGAGAGATGTCAGTACTAAAACAGCTAAACAGTGCACACAGTTCTACTATCTATGGAAGAAATTATGTCCGAATGAGTATAAAAGAGTTAGGGCGAGGCATGGGAGGCCGAAGATTAAGTGTGAGCGGCGGGATTTGGGGAGGGATAGCAAGGATACTAAGGAACTCAGGGATGCTATTGCCTCGGTCACTGAAATGGATTTCAGTGAGGAGAAATCGATTCTACATAGAACACTGGTAAGGGTAAATTACGGTCATTTATTTTTCAACGGTGTTTTTTTTTGGATGAATAAATGGGATGTTTATTTATGAATTAGTTGCAAACGAATGAGAGGGAGTCCTCCGCGACCTTGACCACCAGCGAAGGGGAACTAAGGCTTTTCGCCTACGACTGCCCTGATGTGAGTATCAATAACAAAAAATTTGCCATTTTGAAATGTTGAAATCAATTGATTGGAATTCACTAACATGAAGAGACTATTTGAGGACTATTTGTCGTTGTTATTTGGATTTGACTCCACATTTTTGTTGATTAAAATGTAATGAAACAGTTTTTATTACAAAGAATAACTATGCCAATGTGAACGTTAAATGTAGCATGTCGTTGTGTTTTAAACGTTTTCCTCAAGTGCTTAATTCTCCTGGATTAATGATAAAACGAACGAGAGAAACAAATGATTTCCTCACTGCACATAAATGTAATTGTACTCATACATTTTTTTTCTAATTTTATTCTCCATCGTTCGTGTTGTGTTTGGTGTTGTTTATTTTGGCTTTGTGTTTTCTTTGTGTTGTCAGAGCTTTAGCGGAAGTGTAACAGTAACGATGGCCGGAAGCAACATTGTCGCCAATAAAGGCCATGCAACAGTCAACACCAACTCACAAACTCACATTAGTTCTGAGCAACAACTACCCGTGCCCACCCCACTACACTACCCCTGCAAGATTTGCGGGAAGTAAGTTCGTCTAATTTTAAAAATTTTCTTATTTATCAATTCTTCTTTTTTTGTCAAAAATATTGTAGAATACGAGTCGGTTTAGTAATTGCGTATTTGTTCTTTTCCACCCTCTCAACCATCTTCATGTGCGATCGTCTCCATCTTTCTCGGTATTCTTTTATCTTCGTTGTTATTCCACAGATGTGTCATTTCTTTGTTATGTTCATCATTCATTTCGTATGTTCATCATTCATTTCGTCCCAAACTCGTTTAATGAAGTCATTAATCATTAGAGGGGCTCATACTTTACATTGATGTCAGAAGTGCGAGCGATGCGAAGTGGAGTGATAAATTAGCGGAAAAATGCAGGATCCGAGTAACAGAAATTTCGACGCCAGAACTGCTCGCCGCTTGAGAAATCCACTTCTGACACCGATGTAGAATAATAGTCGGTTTAATAATAAATGAATGTTTATTAAAGAAATTGGAAGGCATAGAATAATAAATAATAGATACACTGATAGAAAGGATTAGTTATTGTTAAGAAATGGATTTAGTTGGTTACTAGGGTGTCTTCGGTCTCACCAAATGCTCATTTATTAATAATTACGAGAACGATCGCGCGCTTGAGCGTGCGTGTTAACGACAAATCGTGACACGAAAACCGAAAGCCGACCGAAGTCGAACACGTGCGGGCGGATCCGAATGTTCGACCAATGAAATTCGAGGAATGAGCTTTACGCTACAACTTACGGCGTATGTTATTTTTAGAATAGGACCAAATACATATTTGAGGAGCCTTGTTTGACTCGACTTTTACTTTTCAAGTGAACCATTCGTCAACTGTTAACGAATATTTATTTGGTCACATTCAACTCTACCGTTTATTAATAATTAACAAATCTCGTTTGGAATAAATGAATCATTCTATCAGTGTACAAAAAAAAATGACACGTCCACGGACTAAAAACCAAAGATAAAGGGTAACGTAAATAGAAAGAGACGATCGTACGTAGCAACCGTTGAGAGAGAAGGATAGAACAAATACGCAATAATATAAAGCAATTGATGAGAACAACAATTGCATTTCAAAAATACAGCATGTAGAAATGTAGAGAAAATACTTTTCTAAAATACATTGAAAAGAATAAAGATATCACCGGAACTGTTGACGTTTTATCCGGAGGAGACCGTCGATTGTTGAAGTTAGGCCATAGAAGACAATTTCGCCTGGATGTCATGGGCTTTGCCTAGATTACAATGCAAATAGTCACTGTAATTACCGCTATCTCTCATTCGCCATTTCCTTTCTTTTGAATCACTGTTGTTTGGCCATTCAACGCTATGCACGTTCATATATATTTCCTTATGTATGCTATGCATGTATAATCAAGTATACATGCATAATAAAACGAATATCTGTGGTGGAAAATGACGGAAAAAAATGGGAACCACCGCGCATAAACTTGAAATACAAATTTCACATGATTAATCCCCTGTTTTTTGCCGCATGAGTTGCATCGCTTGGAGCTACCGCTGTATCTGTGATTAATCACGTTGGAAATTCTGTAAATTATAGTGGAAAAACTACATAATTACGTAGCTGAATCACATAATTGTGTTTATCAGTGGGAGCAAAATGATTAAATGGACATTTTGCATAATTTAATTGCAGAGTTTTCAACAAAGTGAAAAGCAGAAGTGCCCACATGAAATCCCACCGGCCAATACCCTCGCCCGATTCAACGGCACAGGAGTCTAAAAAATCAAACAATCATCAACAAAAACAATCACACAATCAAGAGCAATCAAATTCATCGAGTTTGGTGTCACATGGACACGACTATCGACAGAAAATATCAACGACCAGTGATACTGTTAATCCAAATGCCAATAATATTTGGCACAATCCAACCAGATTACGACCCCCATAGAACACTCAAATGCGCGCACTTGAGGTACCCTAACGAATGCTACAACTTCTAATATATGGCATCGTGGAATTACATCAGGATAATTTTCTCGGGGCTTTTCATCATGAAAAATACTTTCTGCTCACTGGCTTGGAGAAAATACTCACCTCGTTATTATGACCTTGAAGTGCATGCGCTAGGGAGTTTCCACCAAACGGTCTAAGGAAATAATCATGATTATTAATAAATTGTAAAACGTGAATTAATGAGGATAATGAATGATCCCGTGAGGTAACCAGGGTATCGATAATGCGATGAATGAACATATTCGACACATGCAGTCATTGGGAAGAATTATGAAATCGAATAACTGACAATCCTTCGTGAATAGAAGAGGAAATAAAACAAAATGAATGATAATCATAAGATTATTAAGTCCATGGTACTATTTGTTAATCTAATGGTGCATGCAAAAATGAAATATGAAAAGCGTCAAATTATTTATCGTCCGATCGATCGCTTGATGAAGAAAAATTTTGACAGCGAATTACTTTCATCATAATCTTGCTGTAAATGTTGATAATAAATTGACGAATAATTTATCTATAGAATCAAATTTGAATCAAATAATTCTCCAGTTTATATTTCGTGCGATGATGATAATAGTTATTAACGTTTTTGAGACTTCTTTGCGTACACAGAAAATCATAATGAAATCAAATGTTCTAGGAAAATTCATTGAATGATAGATTTGTACATAAATATAACAAAATTAATGTACATATTATTATGAATGTCTGAGTGTACAATGGGGAATAGAATCTATGAAAATCATGACACATTGTGAAGAAATAGTTTAGCTGAATTTTAGTGTTATTAGTTTATTTAGATAGATGATGTTTCATTTTTTTGCTTTTGTGTTTATCCCATTTATTTTCTTGCATCTTTTACACGGCTCTACGTGGCGAGGCTCTTGCAAAAACAATCTCTAATATTTATTTAGTATTTAATCACCACTGATGTTGGTTGATCATTAAAAATTTTATTACACAAAAACAATTAAAAATTACACAATTTGATAATCTCAAATTGGTTTAGATGAATTGACTAAAGACGTCACAATTCGATATCATAGGATGACTAGGAAAATGAATTTCAAAGAAACCCCATATGAGTATGGATTTTATATCAAGTTTCACGTTCGGAAACTCTAAATTGTTATTCAAGAGATTTGCCAAACGTAGACAATTCTAATATATTGTTATTAATTGTTAAATAATCCTCAGCTACTCTAACTTTTATCGTTTTAAGTAATTAAGAAGAATACTATAGTGTACATTGGAACTTTTTAACGATGAAAAAGAAGCCATCGACAAATCTTCCTTCTTTTAAAGGTTGAAGATGACTGCTGGATACTTGAAAAAAAGTCTCCGCCTTGATTCGTTTTTTTTAGTAGTCAAACTATCATCATGTTCGATGTGAATAGAATAAATAACATCTTTCCTTCAAGTTTAGTGCCAATCGCTGTGAAACATTTTCCTATCTTGATAGAGAAAAAATACTTCTAAGACCTTTTTCATCTTCTTTAATATCTTAACAATACACTTTTTTCACAATTGAAAGAGATTAACGAAATGAAATACTGAGATGATTGTCTAATATTCATCATGAAATAATTTTAGTTACCGATGGGATGATTTATATTTTATTTAAATAACAAAACATTATACCAACGCTGCAGAGTGGAAGGAATCTGTGAATTGTTTTGATTTTTTTATAATAACCTCCAGTGATGATGATTGGATATATAAATAAGACTTTTTAGACTGTACAAAATTTGTTAGTGAGTGACAAATTTATATTGAATTTGATCTTCTCATGTGTACGCGCCGGTGTGAGAAACAGAAATAAAAAAATATAGGAATAAAGATGAAAGAAATTAGACAGACATATCATTTAAGACAATACACTTGTTGCGGAAACTAAGTTTCTATTAATAATGATTACGACGATACTAAATTTAATCGTAAACTTCTTGTTTCTTGAATAAAAATAAAAACAAACTAGATTATATTGAAGCAAAATGTGTTGTGACTACAAATGCATAATAGTAATTATAATGTACGTCAATTGGTACAATATCGAACAAAAGAAAACATAATGCTAAATTCTTTAAAAATAGTTCAAAACTCAGTGTTAAATCTATTTTCTTTCAACATAAAATCATAAGGGAATCACTGGAGGCTGATTATAATGATCAAAATATTGTAATAAAGATGAAAAACCCGAAGAATAGCAAAATTACCGAGATACCAGTCAAAAAAGAGCAAAAGTTGACAAATTTTGCTTGAAATTGTACAAACGAGTCCCTCCACATCACAGAATGAAAACGATGCACACAAGAAAAAGTTACATTTTTGAACTATCTATAGATATTGGTATTGGAAGTGAGAAATGGGGTGAGTCAGATGATTCTCAAAAATTTGTTTTCCCAGGAAATTTCCTCCCTATGAATTATTCAGAATAATTTAGGACCAAAGCATGTTCGGGGTTACGAAACATCTCATACATGTATGAGTGAATTTAGCATCTAAAATTCTGTCACAAGTCACACCTTAACCAATCAAACTACAGCAGACGTCACATCTTGAAACAATAACAATTTCACGTAATAACTCTACATGCTGAATAAGAACAAATCAAAAAATCAAATTTCACTCATAAAAAAACATGAACTGACTTCGTCTGTTTGATGAACTAAAATCAGCTGAGGCAACAGTATCCTGAGAATCACGTAACATAAGATCCAATAATTGGATTTAAAAAATATCTGCAAGGCATAGCACGTATTTGAGTTTTTTCCAGAATTACGATTCATCCCTCCTCATCTCACTTTTCCGTTTCAATACTGGTATCTCTATAGACTTAATAACAAAATATATATATAAAACAAATTGATATGTGATGTAATTAAATGGTATGTGGTAATATGGTATTATGTATTTGTACATAGGCGGACCCGTGCCATCAACTAGTGAGTTGTACCGATATTGTACTGATGCCACTGAACCAAAAACGTGAACAAACTAAAGATAAAGAACTACTTAATTTATTAAGCCGATACGTCTTCTGTTGTCTATTCTTAAGTAGATTGAATTATTTATTTGATTATTTATTGCCAATCAACAGATAATCTAATGATCCTTATTTATTCATCACCCTTTACTAACACAATACGATAATTGGGCAAAGTATATTGGTACAACTCGATAAAGGAAGTGTAGCGTGGTTTAATACACCTGAGGAATGTGCTCAAAATACTGTATTTAAAAAAAGAGAGAAAAAAAAACGAAAAAAAAAACCTTGGAAAAAAGTGAAAAAAAAAATCATCGAAGTTTTAACGCAACATTTTACTCTAAAAACAAACACGAAGAGAATAAAACAAGACAACAAAATAATTACAGATTATAAGTAATTTGTAATCAATTTCAATCTCTTAATCTAATTATTCTATACTTTGAATGTCTATCTCTATATACCAGTATGGTTCTCACTCTATCTCTATTAGATGTTAAAAATTATTCTATACAAATCTTCTACAATTAAAAAGCAATACAATATATTGTTGATAGAAATTTTTTCTGTCAGAAAAGAACTGGACCAGCTGTAACAATGAATAATGTTGTTAAATTACTTGGTTTATCCTATACAGAAAACAATTCGATCTTCCTCACTCAATGCTGCAATCAATAATGATAGAGAGAATTCACAATAGCGAATACTGATTAGAACACTTGCATCAACTCAATTGCCGTTTTCTCCTGTATTATACCACTTTAGTAATTCTATGCTCAACTAGTTTTATTCGTATAGACTATTTATAAAAAAAAATATTATTCTACAAACCACGATTAGACTATTTATCTAATGGTAGTTCTCTTTAATCAAATTGGAATCATCATCTTGCTCAATCAAAAATGATAACTCAAGAGAATCATAAATCTTACTCAATACTCGATCGCTCAAAAATGCTGAAAACTCAAACGCACGAGTATCAATCATTACTGTTGATTTTAATGTTGAAAATAAAATCCCTATTTTTAATCTATTTCGAATACAGCTGGTCTCTTTTCACGTTCTTTAAACGTACCTCGATTATGCATTACAGTAATAATTTTCATTGACTTCCAAACTTTACACTAACACTACTCAACTCTGCATTATGTACTTAAAAAAAATACTATTTATTGATAAAATTGACAATGTCGAAAAACTGGACGTATTTTTATTTAGCCTAATGGATGTTTCAATAATTTATTAATCAAATTATTTGAATAAATGCGACTGTAATGCATAATGTAACTGAATCCGTTCAGTCAATATTTTCCAACGCAATGTGGTATAAATAATTGCCAAAATAAATTTTAAAAAACAATAATTATATAGATGAACACAGCTGGACTTACAAAAAAAAGATGAAAAATAATGAATGAGAATGGCCAAAGAGATAATTAATAAGCCTACCTGGCCTCAATGATAACTCTGAGCCTAACCGGTAATACAACAAACATTCAATGCATGTGAATAAATCACATGCATTCAACGAATGCATGCATTCAATGAATGTATTAACTTTTAAAACCAGAACGGCTTAATGATAAAGGCAACGAGCGTCCGTACGTCAGTATTATTTTGAAGCTCTATAACATGTGAATTTTAGCAGAAGAGAAGAGTCATTTTTAGATCGTCAACACGCCGTATTGCATATAAGTACGTACCGTTTAATTTAATATACATATACTACATCCTAAAAATCTGAACATTATACATTGTACACATATAAATATTATAATATAATATATTGACATCATAGCTGTACGGTCTGTCTGACGAGGGAGTAATTGTTCCTGTGTGCAAATGCGAGTGATTAAAGAATAACACAAACAAAGAAAACACCTCTTGCTACTTAACTAATGTATTTCTAGATGTCATATTCGTTGAACGTTGAGAAAAAAAATTATGATTAAATTAACTTGGACAACCGGACGTCCCAGAATCACACAGCCATAATAAAAGTAATGAAGAATACTGGTAGAAATTCAACTGAATGAACAGATGAAAGAGAAATATTTTTAAGACTCTTGGCTGAGGCACTCCCATTACGATAATAATACCGATGAAATATGAGAGGACAAGAGAAGACAAGTGACAAAAAATGGTTTATCTGGTCTGTTGCCTACTATGACGTACCTCTTGTGTATAATAAAGAAATAATGAAAAAGAAGAAAAACGAATGAAGAATTGAACAAAATTTGTCCACTCACGGATTGAAAAATCCACATTATTTGATATCTGAATAATTGACGAGAGAATACACTTGACAAGCCTAGCAGAGAAATCGAAATAACCACAATAAGAGAGGTTTTCAACAATGAGAGTTCACACTCGCGTTTACAAAAGGGAAAATCATATGAAAAAACCGTCGTTTACGAATGATTATTATTAAGAATCAACGATAGAATATATAAGAAATGAAAAAGTCATATATTATATATTAATACTGCATTGCATAAATAATATAAATATGATGATGACATAACTATTTTCTTCTATGGATATATTGTGTGAGTGACATAATGATGCGTGTTATTTTCAGTCGAAATAAATAAAGTATAAAGATAAATTGAAAAAACTTAATATACGTTGGAACTTAACTGTGCCAATGATCGGTGTCTGCACGTGATCGCCTTTTTCTACTCAGCTTGAATGTAAATATTGAAAGAAAAGACGGAAGGATCGAATGGGAATAATTGATGAAAGAGTATTAATGCATTCAATAAATTCACCAACTGTTCATCATTACCATGAACAAACGTGTTATTCTGATTGTCAGTGTTCCTCAAGCATTCTGTTGTCTCGACACCGTGAGCTATTGCCGAATGATGGAATGACGGTTAACAATGAGATCATTAAGGGAAAAATTGAGAGAGAAAAATGATATAATGTGTAATAAGCCAAGTGCCTTGTGTTCTGGTAAATTTACTCACTAATCGTTGAACTTTTAAACTATGTATAAACGTAAAAAATGTAGAGCGTGAGAAAGAAAGACAGCACAAAATGAAAATACTACCACGTGATTTTTCTCTCGTTAAATTTCTCGAAAATGTTTTTAATTTACGGACAAATTGCGTGCCAAATGACACTCTTCACTGAATTTTCACTGCCCAGATGCAGACTTTTATAAATCTTTTGAGATGTGCAAGGTGAATAATACGAGTCACGATAATTTTTTGAATTTTTTCTATTTCATGAATTAGCGTTTTTTCGTTCTACATCATGCTATGGAATTGTTTATCATTGTGATAAGGGAAAATAATGAGGAATCGTGTCGGTTTTATTTTTTTTCGATACTCTCACAGCTGTATATCTCGGACATTATGAAACTCTAACTATCGGTATCTAAGAGGAATTGATGTACATACATAGAAAATAGGGGTTAGTTCAATTGTCATGTGCGAGAGTTCTTTTCTAGAGAAACAGGAAAATAGAGACAAAAAAAATTCGCTGTTTTTTGGGTTCTTGTGTCAGTTATTGGGGAATCCATGTTTGCACAAGCTGAGACTGATTGATTTTACATAAATTCTACTAGTCTTGAATGAGAAAATAACTTCATGTCAATATCATTTTCCAAAGTCACGAAATTTGGATACAAGAGAGAAATAAAAACCCGTATTTACAGCCAAAAATGATTAATTGACACGCCTAAAACACTCACGACTTACGTTTTCACGCACAATAAGGTTTATTGATAAATTCTGTGCCAAGAGAACATCAAGAAAGGGCGAATTTCGTAATTAATTAAGATGGATAAATTTTAATGAGAGAAAGAGAGAAGAGCAATGCAAAAAAATGCAACGTAGAAAATGTGATGTTCACTTAACGAAATAGGTGAATCATTAAATGCGAAGTTCCAAGAATTCCGTGTGATTCAAGGAAAACATTACACATCAACTACGCAATAACGAAGATGAGAAAAATTATGTAATGGAAGAATGAGAGAAAGAATAATGTAAACCCTTGATGGTCTTCAATCTTTCTTCCGTGGCTTACATTAATCATATTATTTTCCTAACGAATATTAACGATTCTTTCAGTAGTTCATCATCTATTAACAAAATCATATTGTCATGTTTAGACAATCGCAGTAATCAAATGAATTTTCCGATATTTCTGGTGCATCTGCATCGAACGAATCAAAATTTATAAGAAATAATCAAATGATGAAAGGATCATTTCTCTCGAGGCTTCGATAGTATTGATAAAATATAACGAATAAAAACAATGTGTAAGAAAATAGTTATAATACCCTGTGCGTAACCGGATTAAATTCTCTAACATAACAGAATAAAATGAAATCTGGCTGAAGCTCTGAATCAAAATGATGGAAACATACGTTGGAAACCCATGAAAAGAGTCAGTAAGCGCGTGAGAATCTGTCATCCTCGTGTTTAAACAGTTGGAGTACGTTTGAAAGTTGAAAATGAATGGATGCATGATAACTTAATCGAAACCATTGACTAATAGGAGAATCAATGAACCGAGTGATTGAAATTTTAAATAAACACGAAAATGTCATTTTAGAAGTAACTTAGGGCTGGATAATATTTTCTTACGACAAAACTACACCCATTTTATGTACATTCCTTCCTAAACCTGTGAATATTGAATGTTTAAAGCAAAAGGTATAAATATTTTTGTGTAACAATAAATATACTTTGTAATCGACAACTAATAGCTCATTATTGATATGAAAAAATATGAAAAAAAAGAATCAAATTTTAAAAATTTACCGATAAGTATGAATTTAGTGATAGTCATAGTAACGTCGATGTTAATTGTTCAGTGTTATGCCAAAGTGAAACAAAAAACAAAATCAAAGATCCATTTAATTGAATAAATGTGTGCAGTGCGTTGATTCTATGCTTTTTAACGAAAATAAAAATACAAATAAATTCGAGTGAACACTACACACACGATAAAGTATCAAAATCCAGCCCTAATTAGTTGTAAAGAGTGTATGCTTTATTAGAAGTGGAATAAACATTCTCTCTTTCTCTCGAGTACTCCACTACCAAGTAAATGATGAACATTCATTGTTAAAAAAAGATCGGACATATCAAAGAACACAATGTGAAAAATGAAATTTTACACCAATGTTTTGAGCTCAATTTTTTTAATCATTCTGAATTGACGTCGTCGATGGTTCGGTTTCGTTGAATCCTAAATTAATAACGAAATATAAAAATACATGAACGACATTGAGCTGCTGAGAGGAAAAAAAAATCAATGGCGATCGTTCACTGTCCAAATACTTTTTATAACAAGGAAGATGAAAAAAGTATAAATGTGTACATAAAGTGAAATTCATTTCATACGATAAATCCATTTCATCAAATTATTTACGTAATGACAGAAATAAATGAAAAATCGAAACATCGTGAAAATGTCAAAATTGAGCCAATTTGAAAAGTTCAAAAATGTCCCGAATATTCCGATTCAAACTTTTTACTGAGCTTGGATAAATCCTAAATAAAAATATTAAAGTACATGACATAGAGGGAATACGAGTGATTAGTGATGTAGACACGTACAACATATAGATGAGAATCATTATTATTATGACACCTGAAAGAGTCTAACATCCACTGAATCGGCAAGGGTAGTCAGCGAGAAAGAAGAGTGAAAATGGATAAAATAGTGAATCCTTCAATTCTTCCTCTGGACTGCCCCTGAATTCTCTGAGAAATTCCATCCCCTTCACCTTTTCAAATAAATGTAAAAACAAAAATTACAAAAACAAAATTGATATAACGTACTTACCACGATTTATATCAATTGATAATATATTTATGACAAGTGATTGATTGTGAGTCATTTAAATAATTGTTATATGTATTTTCTATATATTACAGTAAATAAACTAATACACATAATATATATTTAAAAACAAAAATGACATTATGTCGATATTGAGTGTAGTGTTACTCGTCGATAAGTATGAAAATATTAAGAGAATGAGATTGAGAGGCAACAATAGCATGAACGGTTTTAATCTTTCTCCATTAAAATAATTGAAACTTCGTCAGCTGGACGCGATGAAAAAGAAAAATAGTTTAGAAATCAGACAAACCCGAGAGATGTTCATGTAAAAGCGTTGATGTGAGTAAAAGTTTCGAAAAAAAAAAAACAATTACGGAATTCAAACACAAAGGCAGATGATCAGAGAAAAATGGCGATAGTGAAACAAGATTTTAAAAGAGTAGATACTAGTATTGTATTTTCTCACTCCCACTGAGAAGTGAATGTTCAACGCTATACACATTACTTGAATGAATAATGAGAAGAAAAAATATGAGCAGAAAGAAAAAAGAACGATGACCTATATATAAAAGTCTATAAATATATAAATAAATATATTATATTATCATATGAAAACAAAAAGTCACTGTATAATTGTAACGAAAAAATTGTTTTTCAAACGATGTGGTATTTTTATTGTAGATATTATTGCATACGAATAAATGATTCATTGTACGATGATTTAAAACAAAAAATAATTGATGGTTAACATTCATTGGTTTTTCATTTGTGAGAAAAGGACAAATCTGTTAGTTTAATTTTTCTCATATATACTTTTATTTCAGACGTTTTCCTTCAAAAAAATTATCTCCAATAATAAGCGAATACATATGTGCGTTAAAAAACATATATTTCTATTTTTCTCAACATTAATTAAACATCTCTTAACTGTTTTTAGTTTTTCGTGCTGAAGCTGCTGCTTGCGAATATTTTGATCGATGAATTCTGAAGGAGATTCTGTAGAAATAAATATTTGGTATTCCACTGACCGCAACGTTCGGACAAGATCTCACTTCCAAGATTACTCACGAAACTAATTCCATGTGACAGTTTCAATAATCCATTGTAGAATATGAGATTCGAAAGTAGATGCAAAAAAACTAGCAGAATTCATCGAGAAGTAATGCATTGATAACAATAATTAGTTTGCATCTTTCAATATTTTTCATTGAATTGTTCACTTTTTTCCTATTCAACAAGAATTTCGTAGTTTGGGAAACAGACATTGGCTCTACCGGAGATGATATAACATACGTTGTGCGATATCTGGCCATTTCTAATGAACTGGGGTTCACCTTAGTCAGTCTCCTGCGAGAATAGCATTGGATGGTACTAATGTTCCTGCGATTGATACCAATCTTCCAATCGATATAGTGTTTTCATTGTAGATATTACTGCACATGAATAACCGATTCATAGTACGATGATTTAAAACAAAAACAAATTAATGGTAAACATTTATGGATTTTTCATTCGTGAAGAAATGAAAAATTTGTTAGTGTCATTTTTCTCATATATACGTTTATTTCAGACGTTTTCCTTCAAAAAAATTATCTCCAATAATAAGCGAATACATATGTGCGTTAAAAAACATATATTTCTATTTTTCTCAACATTAATTAAACATCTCTTAACTGTTTTTAGTTTTTCGTGCTGAAGCTGCTGCTTGCGAATATTTTGATCGATGAATTCTGAAGGAGATTCTGTAGAAATAAATATTTGGTATTCCACTGACCGCAACCTTCGGACAAGATCTCACTTCCAAGATTACTCACGAAACTAATTCCAAGTGACAGTTTCAATAATCGATAGTAAAATATGAGATTCGAAAGTAGATGCAAAAAAACTAGCAGAATTCATCGAGAAGTAATGCATCGATAACAATAATTAGTTTGCATCTCTCAATATTTTTCATTAAATTGTTCACTTTTTTCCTATTCAACGAGAATTTCGTAGTCGGAGAATGACATTTCGGCTCCACCGTACGGGATATAGCATACATTGTGCGATGCCTGAACCTTTCCAATGGTCAAAGTGCCCTCGTGGTTGACACGACCGATGAACAGGGGCTCTCCTTCCTCAGTCTCTCCTCCGGGAACGGCGTTGGGTGGTACTTGGCCTCCAGCAATTGGTACCCATCTTCCATTGCATCCGCAAAGAACCTATCGTGATAATAGAGGTCATGGAGTGATCAACAAAAAATATTAAAAAGAGGATCCACCATATGCTTATAACTATAAATTATGATGTACAATCCATTGATTGATGTAAAATCATGGATCGTGAATGTTATTTATCATGATTAATTCATTATTTTGATTATTCATCAATTTTTTTTGAATCTGCTGCACTTATTAAGGCTTCACTTCAATATTTGAGTATGAATCTCTGAAATTTATATAGTTTCAACGCATTTTTTTAATGAACAATCAATCATTTTTGGGGAAATTTAATGGAGCTTAAAATTTTAATCCAATTTGACGAAGGAAATCACGAAAATTCAGGCGATTACTGCCCTCAATTTTCAACATAAATGAGAAATTTATGAATACTTTGATCTCAAATTGAACTTAAACTCACAACTTTAAAAATTTGTAAATGAAAATTAGTTTAATTTCGACGAATGATTAGGGTTTATTTGTATGTTTGATAATTTTACAATTTAAAACCTATCCCGAAAACATAAGTCATGAAATGAGCAACGGGAGATATTAAAAAGAGCTAATGCTCTTAACATCTATTCGTAAATACTAATTAAAATATATTTACAATCATGTAATAACAAATCATTAATCAAGATTATTGTTCGTCGTAATGAATTCATTATTTTGATTATTCATTTTTTTTAGTATCTGTTAAATTTATTGAAGTTTTATCTCAACATTTGAGTATGAATTTAAATTTTTTTTAGGAATAATCAATTTATGGAGAATTTCAACGGTTTTGTTCAATGAATTATCAATCATTTTTGGGGAAATTCAATTGAGCTTCAAGTTTTAATCCAATATGGCGAAGGAAATCACAAAAATGCAAGTGATGATAGCCCAGAATTTTCAACATATGTTAAAAACTTATGAATAATCTGATCACAAATCGAATTTAAACTCACAATTTTGAAAAGTGGTAAATCAAAATTAGTTCAATTCCAACAAATGTTTAACGTTAATTGGGATGTTTGATAACTTTACAATTTAAAACCCATCAAAAGAATGTAAGTCATAAAATCAGCAACGGAAGATATTAAAAAAAGCATAATTACGAATTTATAAACATATATTCGTAAATACAAATGAAAATATATTTACAAACGATCATTTAATATCAAATCATTAATTAGCATTATTATCCGTCGTAGTTAATTCATTATTTTGATTATTCACTTTCATTAATTTTGTCAATATCTGCTAAACTTAATGAAGTTTCACCTCAATATTTGAGTATGGCTTTTTTAAATTTATAGGAATAATCAATTCATGTGAAATATCAAAAGATTTTTTCAATAAAGAATCAATGATTTTTGGAAAAATTCAATCACGAAATTGCAAGCAACTGTTACCCTAAATTTTCAACATGAATGAGAACCTTACGAATAATCTAATCTCAAATTGAACTTAATTTCACAACTTTGAAAATTTGTAAATCACAATGAGTTTAATTTCAATAAATGTTTAAAGTTAATTGGGTCGTTTGATAATTTCACAATATTTCTACTCAATAATTCCCCCGATTTATTTATAGTCTTCGATGATTGTATCTCACCTCATATTCGGGCTTTCCATGTTCACCACCGCCCCATGCTACATAGCAAACAGCGTGACTTGGCTTGACCTTGCCAGGAATAAGCGCACCTTCGTGTTGGGCCCTGCCCACGAAAAGTGGCTCGCCATCTTGTCCACCCTCGAGTGCACCAGGTGGGATTTGTCCACCTGATGCGGCACACCAGCAGGCACTTCCGGCGTATCGCGCAGACGGTGCTGATGGATTTGGATCTACAGTTGATAAATCATGTTAGATCGTTTTGATTGAGAGAATGCATGATTGTGAGGAATAATATATGGAGTAACAAATACTATACACCATCACAGGAACAATAAAATGAAGGGAATAAATGGTTTTTTACGTAGAGGAATTCACTACATAGGTAAAGATGAAATTGGTATATAATGGATTCTGAATAGGCAGATGGTAAATATATTATTCGTTATCTAGGAAATCGACAATTTAAAGAAATAATTGCCAGAGGCTTCCATTTATATTCGAGTTATGAGCAGAACTACGCCAAATCAACAAGATGAAGAGTCGCTGTTGCGGATTTTTGTTCCAATTTTTTTTCTGCAAAGATGGCAATGAGGCAAAAATTTCGAAAAAACGATAATTGAAAAATATTGACAATTGAGGGAGTTATGATTTTTTGAAAATGGCAAGTTTTTGTCAACTGAAACCCATGCGGTTACACGCACGTATCATATAAAAAACTTTTTGAATAATTAACGATTTAAAAAAAACCGTTTTTTCGTATAAACCCCGTCAAACTGAAGATAATGTTATATATGACGTCTGATTTTGAAGAGTTTTTCATGTTCTTTGAGTGTCCCGAAGGGCGATTTGATAGCTTGAAACCCCGCAGAGATATCGGGACCAATTTAAAAAAAAAAACAAGTTTTTGGCCAAAAAATAGCAATTTTCAAAAAATTATAACTCCCTCAATTATCCACATTTTTCAATTGTTCTTTTTCAAAATTTTTGTCTAATCGCCATCTTTTCATTAAAAAAAAATGGAGACGAAAATCCCGTGAATCGGCTTTTTTGTCCTGCTAATCAGGCGTGGATCTGCTCTTATTCAGGGTCTTATGAGAAAGATTAAGATCTAGAAAAAACCTTATAACAAGACTACTTTTTAAAAGAATAAATGAAAAAAAAATGATGGATTAATTTATTGTTTTATTATGTTAACACTATTTTAAAGGTTTGCTTCATTAAAAGTTGAATAGATTCAATTTTATGCGTTATTAATTGCCGAGAAATTCAGCAGTTCTATTAAGAGTAAATTCCATTTATCTCCATGAAGATATTAACCATGCTCACAAGCGTTCTAATACAGAACTAAATACTGTGAAGATATTATTAGCATAAAGAGTTGATCATCACCATGTACTCGATATTAAGGATATCCAAGTAGTTTGAGCAATTTTCTTGGAGGGGAAACCCTTTCCAGAGTTTATAGAATAGACCAAGAGTTTTTTTGAGGCTCAATATCAATCTTATTTTCCGAATATTTTTGTCGAAAAAACAAATTTTGAAAATTAAAATTTAACACATTGTGTCCATAACAGCTGAACAGTCACATCTTCAATACAATAGTTCCAAGTCTTATAGTATATTTCGAAGAGTGTTTTTCGAAAAATGTTTTTTGGCTCGTGGTAAGTTTATAGCACGAGTCGAAGGCGAGTGATATAATCCCAAGACACAAAAAACACTTTTCTGCACTTGTATCGAACGATTTTTTTCATCACAATGAGTAAAAATCAAGATTTTGCGCACGCGGAGCGTGCGTAAAATTTCACTTTACGCATAAGTGATGAAAATATATTTAATATTCAATTTCTATTAATAGTAATCCTCAGTGCGTGCGTATAACATTACCGATGAACAAAATAAAATCATCCTACAACTGTTGATAATAACGTTGAGAGGTGATAATCATTTGTCTTGTGAATGAGCGATGAGTCAAGCTATTGCTTGTGATATTCTACTCACACACACAGCATGATTAAAGGAAATTGACGATTTAATACTCCTTTCACTTCCGAACGGAAGCTATGTATTTTTATTTATAAATAAAATTAATGAAGAAACATGAACGGCAAATAAAAGAGAAAAAAATTAGTGCTAATTTGGG